TCTAGGGCAGTGGTTCTCAACCTTTCTAGGGCTGGGACCCCTTGGTAACATTTGTCAAGTTGTGGTGACCCCCAACGGTAAAATGTAGGGTTGACGCGGCTGCTGCGACATCTGGCGGCGTGGTGGGAGAACTGACACTGCTGCGCTAGGAGAGGGCTGAGGAGGACTCTCGCCTAGCATTTACATTTTTCATTTTCAATGGAGTAAGTCCGACTCCAACAAGAAATTTTGGCGTGTGTCACTGGCACAAGAAGCCAAAGAGAGCAATATAAACAAGACAGTTGTTCTAACCCCCTCCCTACTCCACAAAATAAATGTGCTTTTGTTGCTGTCTTTGTCCCCATCAGGGAGATATACCATCACTTCCTGTAGTCATCGCTCCCCATTACTGGGACACAAAGCAACAGAAACAGCGGTAGCAGTTAAAACCTGACAGATATTCTAAACCTTCCCCATGTACAAAACCTACAATAGTTGGGTTTTAAATGTATCACATAATCCACCTTTCATTGCTAAAGTATCTCTGGGTGTCTACAGATGCTTTTATTAAAATCACAGTATGCAATTCTTCTCTTACACTGTAAACTTTATTAACCAAAAAGCCCCAGGGACTCCTCATAGGGCTGAGTTTGTCAAAAGTACACATCAGGTATTGACATATATGCCAAAATGCTGCTTGTGGAATAAAGAGGTCACTTTTTTTGTGTATGATTATTAAAATGTTTACTGAATACAACCTACTTGAGCAGAAAAAGTCTAGGGCAGTGGTTCTCAACCTTTCTAGGGCTGGGACCCCTTGGTAACATTTGTCAAGTTGTGGTGACCCCCAACGGTAAAATGTAGGGTTGACGCGGCTGCTGCGACATCTGGCGGCGTGGTGGGAGAACTGACACTGCTGCGCTAGGAGAGGGCTGAGGAGGACTCTCGCCTAGCACAGCAGAAATCACACAGCGACCCACAGGTTGAGAATCACTGTTGTAACAGCTAAAATGGCAAACCATATAACACAAGCCGAGGGTGTCAGCTTTTATTATTAATAATAATGATAATCTAATAGCTATCTAATAGTGGGAGACTCCCGGCGACCCCTGGCAAATTGTCATTCGACCCCCGGAGGGGTCCCGACCCACAGGTTGAGAACCGCTGGTCTAGGGTGTTTACCAGGACGCTGACCATGTCTGAAGGGACTTCATCAGCAAACTAACTCAACAGCAATCAATTACACTGTTTTGGACACCTTACCATTACACCCATATGAGCTTATTGTACATCCCATTTCAAAACTGTGGACATTAATATAGAGTTTCCCTGCTCCCCCTCACCACCCGCAGCTCACCTACTTTGCAGCTATAGTGGCCTCAACTTTCCTGGTAAGGTCTTCCAAAAGATTTTGCAGTTTGCCTTAGGGGATTTTGTGCCCATCCAGCCAAATGAGCCTTTGTGAGATCTGGTACAGACTGATGTTAAATGAAAAGACCTGACTTGCAATTGGTGTTCCATTTCCTCCCAAAGGAGTTCAGTAGGTAGAGGTCAGGGCTCAGTGCAGGCTCCTTAAGTTCTTCCACAGCAAACTCATCAATGCAATTTGGACCTGGCTTTGTGCACAGGGGCGCTGTCATGCTGGTAGAAAAGGACCTTCCCAAAAGGCCTGCCACAAGGTTGGAAGTACACGAATGACTAAAATGTCTTTATCTCTTGACAGATGTATAAAAACTAAAGGTGGAGAGGTAGTGATTGTAATTTTTTTGTAAATTAATGATTCATCTGACTGGTATAAGCCGGTGATGTGTCACAGTGATGAGTCAGATTGATCTATTATTTAAAAGCCACAGTGGTCCTTGGCCTCAATGACGGTATTAACATTATTTTTTGGGCTTAGGTTTATTTTATTCTCTCTAATCAATAACACATTTGTAATGACTTTGATATTTAGAGATAAATCTTCATAACCAAGGTTATGTATTTTATTTTCCTTGTTTACACATAAAATGGAGAGCTTTTGGAGACTAAAGGTTGTCATTCTTGTTGTCTTAAATACATTCATATATCCAGTAGTTCAGTGAATGTTTGGTCTTCTCTGCATGGAAAATTTGTGTTATGTGGGACAAGTGAATTTTTACAGTGAATGTAAAGTTTTGCTCTACATATTGCTCATTGCAATTTATGAATAAGTCTATGACTTAGCAGAACTTAGCATGACTTAGCAGAAGCAAAACACTGCTGTGTCACCATCATTAATGAAGACCAATAACTCCAAAAATTGTATATTTTGCTCAAATGCAAATGCAATGTAAACATTTAGGGGCCAGTCCACCTAAAACGGATATTGATATGTACCAACCAGGGACATGCAGTCAGGGGAGGCAGGAGAGGCAGAGCCTCACCTAGTATTATGGAAGAAAAAGCTGTCAGCTTCAAGTCTGAAGCTGACAACTTTTTCTCCATTCAGACCGGCTTCTAACAGGTTAGACAGCGGGGTAAGCCTCCCCGTTGTGTAACCTGTAATGGATGAAGCGCTGCCTGTTAATTACAGGAGTCACTTTATCCGGCTTTTGACAGCTAAGTTAGGTTACACACCAGTGGGCTTCCCCACTGCTTGTGTAACCTAACATAGTGAGGCCAGAGCAGCAACAGTCTCTACTTGGTGTTAGAGGCTTGAGCTCTGTGGATGGTTTGGACCAATGGCAAAGTGCCATTTTCCAAGCTGTTCAATCAAAAAAAAATAAACAAATCCCATTAAGGTCATCTATCTTAATGCCTCACCAGTGACTAGCAAATGAGGCACAGGGAGGCTCCTCCCTGTCTCCTCCCTTCACCCTCCCTCCTCTACCCATAGCTGGTACCAACTGGCTTTTTATAATATTCAGGTTTCAGTTGTGAGATGTGTGCATAAGTCTCCAGGCCTGCAGGCCAATAAGTGAGATTTAAATTTTACCTATGGGGCTGCAACGATAGTAGCAGACAAGTGCGATTCTATGGCAGTGTGTGGGCAGAAACCTCTATGGAGAGTTCCTATTGAAGGAGATACAAGTTTATGAATATTCCATTTAGTAAATATGCGCTGCGGTTGGACTAACATCCTCAATGCATTGAAGTGTAGTTTGGCAACTCTACAAAATATTTCAGAAATACAAAATATATAAATATTAAGAGATGGCACAAGTACATAATTGCTAATTTTTTCCAAAAAAGAATATGCTCTCCTGCTACTCCAGGTACAGGATGACATAGAGAGACCCACAACACTGCCTCTGGAGGTGATGGGAGCCTTAAAACATTAAACACATATATAAATAATTTTGTTTTCTGTCAGAAGGATATCAAGTAGCTGCGGTCTCATCCATTAATAAGATCTAACGCTCATTTTATCAAACAGGTAATCAGTTGAATCATATACTGTATATGTAAAATGTTTTACCTAAAAAAACTATTTGTCATTCTGTTTATCCAGTCTTCTAATTCGGACCCATATGCAGGGGCCTACACAAGTATGTCCTGAACCTCTCTGCAGACTGAGCTACAGATAAGCAATAGAGCCTTGTTCGAACTAACTCAAGCCTACAACTGGACAACAAAGCCATAGCAGCACATTGATGAGGCCATTCATGTGCTCACCCCTTCAATAAAGCAGGTTCACTGTGTGACTGACAACACTGATTTTGTGCTGCTGGGTAGGTGATCATAGAAGAATGATATGAAGATAATTTAAAGTAGTACTAAACGATCAACTTGTAAAAAAATATATGCATTCTAAATAGATAATGAAACATTCCCCTGTACTTTTTTAATTTAATATCTATAGAAATACTTACATTCACCTCTGAGGCTCCAGGTCCCACAACATACATAACATTTCCCTGACTTCCAGGGACAGAAGCACATGCCCTGTACCCTTTACATCCACAGTGCACTGCCCACAGCACAGGCTGAAGCTGCTGTGAGTCAGTCGCTTGGAGGACGGAGGAGAGGGAAAGGGGCTTGGGGCAGGACTGTCTGTTTCAATGCACGCTGTGTATCGGCAGCCAGGAGAGCGCATGCAAAGGTGGCTCCATTGCACCCTGTATGGTGATTATGCCACACGATAACAAGACTCAGGAAAGGGGGTATTTGGAGATAAAGATTTCAGAGCAAAGTAATACTTAGAAAGGAAAACTGACACGAACAAATGGTAAGTGCTGAAATCTGCAGCACTATATAATTTTTTTTTTTTCAAAGCGTTTAATATCACTTTAAATAGTAATGGTATTCACATTAAAGTCTACCTCTTTCATAGTCTGTATACTCACATCAACAATGGCAAAAAAGAACAGCCAACATCAATTGTGTTGAATCCCAGCTACACCCCTCTCATCAAAGTGCTGTGTTTAGGGGGTCAGTCTAAACTGCATGAATCAAGAGATAATCCTCCCCAAACTGCCACATCACTGGTTATATACTAGTACTATAGGTTTATGTTATACTAGTATATACCAGTATATACTACTGGTACATTGTTTCAATTATTTGTCACATATATTATTTTTAGATACACTTACCGCTTTTCCTGAAGAAGCAGTTATCGGTCTGTTAAACACGTTAAATCACATTAAGGGTTACCCCTTTTGAAACCAACATGATGTTTATGTAAAAGATCAGTCAGATGGTAACTCATTTCCTTACAGTGGAATACAACTAATAAACTTTGAGGGTTCCATCAGCAGTATTTTATGTATGTTTTTGTATATCAAATAGGTACCACCTGGGTGGCCTCCCTAGCTGAGTTACCAGGTCTTGTAAATATATGTATTTGCAAATTTTCTGATCACAGTAGTGTGTATATGTATTTCAATGTTTCACTTTTGTACTAATAAAACTTGTATTTTTTATACCTAAACAAATACTGAATGTAAGTACATCACTGCAGCACCTGAAAAGTCCCACATGTGTTACCTATTATGGTTGATTCTTGGTGATATAACATGTTTATTCAACAACAGTGATAATGTGATAATGTTACATACCTTCTCCAACCATTGAAACTCCAACAGACATCCCCAGAAATTTGCTTTTAGTCCATATGTGTGTGTTAACACAAATCTTCTTCTCTTTGCATTCACAATAAAAACAAGACACGGGTGGATGATGAGACACTTGTTCAGCGACAAACCGCACTTTGTATGACTCATTGGTAGATTCCTGGGCTATGTCCGTTTCTTTGGCTTTCATACAGGCACTCTGAGTTCTGCAAGGCTTCACCTTTTCCTTGGGAACATCCCAGCTGCAATGAAACGTTTCACCTATAATTGGGTTATAAGGCTTCTTGGCAACTGCACCTTTGCGGCCTTCATGGAAGGCTGTCATGTAATATTCCACAAAGCTAATCATTCGCTCCTCAGGGGTGGTACCAGCTGCAATGGATAAGAACAAATCGGGATGGGCCATGAAATTTGCATACATCTCCAGGAGGGATCTTTTCTCCAAAATAAAGGTTGGAAGCACTACCTGTCATAAAAGTAAAAAACATATAAAGTTTCTTTAGATTACAGATTTGGTAGTAGCAAAGAGAGGGGAATTGAGCAAAACTGGAGCAGACAAAATCTGGAGCAACTGTGCATGGCAACCAATTAGCTTCTGTCTTTCAATTTCAAAGCTTAAAGGAGAACTATGGGGTAAGTGTTTTTCCACATAGTTCTCTTAAGGGTCACGGGAGGACATATACTAGTGTCCTCCCGTGACCAAAAGCTCGGTATATCGCTAGCTGCAGCTCGCGGTATACTCAGACCGCCGCTGCCGTGACGGATCCCGACATTACTGTCGAGATCCACCCAGCGTGAGTGACAGCTGGCTCTGCCTGTTTAGAGGCAGAGCCAGCTGTATCCGCCCCCTCCCCTATCCGTTCCGCCAGTCAGCGCTGGAGGATCGAAGCGGGGAGGGGAGAATCCCTGCAGGGAGCCGTGAGTGACAGTCACTGCTCTCTGCATGGAGATGATCGAGAAGTGAGTGAGCGAGCGACGGTATGTGTTCGCTCACTTCCCGATCTATTGGGCCGACGTGTGACAGTTTCATTGTCACAGGTCGGCTCAAACTATGAGGTTGAGTGAAAATCACTCACCTCATAGTTCTCCTTTAACTGAGCAAACTGAACAGAGAAGATGATTTGTTACTATGACCAAGTGTTGCAGATTCTGTCTGCTCCAGTTTTGATAAATTCCCCGAGTATTTAAACACAATTTGTTAAATCAGTCAAAAAAAAAAGCATCTTCAGATGCTAAATCATAAATATTACAGGGAGATGCTTGAAATATGCAAATACTTGCTTAATAAATTGGGAAAAGCCTACATCTTCTAAAATTTCAAGAGTAAATACCTGTCATAAGTTGCAGCATGTTGAGGCATTGTGCTGAGTATGGAGATCACCTATACAACTATGCAATATATCTTGGTTACCATGCTTTCTGTAACATATATTAAGGAGCAATTCCAGACAACAAGTTTGTGTGTATATATGTCATTAACTTTTTAAATCTTTACAAAATTCATCTTTTAAAGAAAATAAATACACCAAGACTGCTAGGGGTGCTTGAGCAGCTGCAGCAACAGTTTTAAACCATGTGAATGAAAGGTGACCGTTGTAAGCACCCCTAGCAGTGTTCTAATTTGTCCTACACTTCTGTCACTGTCAATTTCGATGAACAGCTTGGTATGCATGTAAATGTGAAGAAAAAAATACATATGTAAAATAAAAAATAAATTAATATACTAAATATTATCACTGTATACGGTATATTAACCATAGTGTGACGGAAATAAAATATTTTCTGTGATAGTGGCACTTTGAGAGGAAACAAGGGGCATTGAGCCAATCAGAGAGAACACTAGCTACCGTGTTTCCCCGAAAATAAGACAGTGTCTTATTTATTTTTTTGCACGAAATAAGACACTAGGTCTTATTTTCGGGGTAGGTCTTATATTACAGACATCCCCGAAGATAGCGCTAGATCTTACTTCCGGGGTAGCTGTGAAGACCGGCCGCAGCTCCCTCCCGCCCCCTCGCCCGTCCACCTACCCGCACGCTGTTGCTCTCTGGATGACGACATCAGAGCGGAGAGGCAGCTCCCTCCCTACCCGACATGCAGGAGACGAGGGGGCGGGCATGCGTGCTGCTGGAGGGGGGCTCCAGCAGCACGCATGCCCGCCCACCTGTTTGTGGCTCCCCGGACGGCAGAGCACAGCTGCAGCCAGGTAAGACATCCCCCGAAAATAAGACCTAGTTCGGGGTAGGTCTTATATTACAGACATCCCCGAAGATAGCGCTAGGTCTTATTTTCGGGGGATGTCTTACTTTCGGGGAAACACAGTAGGTAACATTGTTAGTGCTCTGACAGATCACATTGCAAAGCCAGATGTAAGAAAATAGTGGCCTTGATTGAAATGTTGTTTAATTTGTATCTTGTTTCCTCTATGAAAGATAAGGGCACTGGTTTTTAATGTCTTTGTTTAAAAAAAAAATCCACGTGGGAAATAATGAAGATCTTTCCAGCAATACAGTACAATTTCCAAAGGGGATCTCTGCGCTCTGAAGGCGAATATCCTTATGTCAATGTGTTCTGCCTCTGTTATCTTGTCTCCGCTTAAAAAAAGGCAGTATACTGGTGCATAGGTTTGTGTTAAAAATAAAACTAGGGAAATCTGGATGACAACTCCCTGGGCACCAAGTGGCTGAGTTTCTCTGTCAAAAATAATGCATCTCTATCTTTCCTGCACAGCAATTACAAGAAATATAAGTACAACCAAATCCTGCTGCGGAACGCTAATACTGTTTACGGAATTGTGTGAACTGATCATTATCAGCCTACCAAAATAAACTGACAAAGCGCTATATATGCTGCTTGCCAATCAGAACCCTTTCTATTAACAGCTCTAATCTCTTATATTTTCCGTAAGTCTTTTCTGGATTCCTTCACACAAAGCACTGAGCCAAGATTAAAACATTTTTTCCGGTGGGAGCTAAAACGGTATCTCTTATTATAATCACAGAGAAGAAGCAAATCCTTGTAAAATTCTCTACTATAGGAACATGTTCATTATCAGTCTTGAGGCTGATTTACATTCAACAGGTTCACAACCATATCTGCTTAAATGTTATGCATTAAAACGAAGCTGCTGGATTTAATGACATGCTATATGAACTAAATCGTTTCTCATTTTTGCATTTGATTATTAAAAGAGCTGCACTGAATACCTTTTTAAAACATGAGAAATGAGATCCACCCTTACATTTTCAGTCCAGGCAGGTATAGCGTTCATCTCTTGATGCCCACTCATCACTTGTTACAACTAGGCAGTTTTCAATCAAATTTTCCATAGCAAGTTTTAATAATAGTGTACAATCCCTTAGTTTTAGTAACTGTAGCAATTAGAAGATATGGGTAACAGTTGCTAAGGTTGATCATAGACAACCTGATCATTACTAGTGATTGTGAGTATCACACGCAATAATTTGGATTCTTGAATCGCTAAGGGGCAATAACAAACATTCTTCGAAGTTAAAGAGGTGGAACAAAGGAAAGAATCAAAGTACTGTGTATGAGCCAATGTCAGCTTTGTCCTAATATCGCAGAGGGTTCAAGCCCCACTCATTCTTGGAGAGATATCTGCACATCTTTAGGATTCAGTATTCATATCTACATTGATGCCTATTAATTTTTTACTCATTTCTTAAATCCCTTTTAAACATCTACATTGAGTAAAGTTGTCTAACGCTTATGTAGGTGGGTCTTATGTTGGCACCTACCTTTTTGTGCAGACATTATGGATACCCTCATCCTGCACTGATGAGCTAAATGAATAATTATATAACAACTTGGTTGGTAAAACCAACTTAAAGCCCCACTCTGGGGGTGTTTAAAGAATCTGGAGCTGTTCTTGCAGTACCTCTTCTTCTCCACAAGATGTCCTCAGTCTTCCATACTGAATGGTGCCCAGCATCACTTAAAGTGACACTAAACTCAGGAGTTAAATCTTAAAAATGCATTTAAATACCTTACCCTATTAACAAAAATTAACTTCTTTTGTGCAACACTGAGCTGTAGATCCTCAAATCATCTCTGAATTCATGCTGACACTGTTCTTCCTTCTGGTGGGTGGCTACTTTTGTTCCACATGGTCCCTGTATGTGTTGTAAAGTAGCCACCACTCCAAGTAGCCACCCTGCAGAAGGAAGGACAGTGTCAGCACCAATTCAGAGATGATTTGAGGATCTACAGCCGAGTGATACTCAAATAAAATACATTTTGTTACTAGTTAAGGTATGCAAATTCATTTTCAAGATTTAACTTCTGAGTTTAGAGTCACTTTAACTCAGAAGACTAAAAAAAAGACTGAGTGTAGGGCATCATGGCCTGAGCACATATCCCACCACTCACAGTGTATTGAAGCAAAAAGGGGCTGATTTCATCACATCAGTGCTGCTCTCTGCAACATCGAGAACCTCCCACTGGTGAAAGAAGAGCAAAAAAGAATAGAGCCCAGCGTGTCATGTGACTGTCCAGAAGACATCTAAAACATGTAAGTTTAAAAATAAATGCTGGCTGGGGCCTCAAGGGGGTGAGGGGGCTACAGGGGGGTGGGGCACAGAGCCTGGATTTGGAAATGGGCTTCTAACTTAAAGTAGAGCTAATCTCTCACAAAAGATTACTTACGTGGTTATTCACAAAGCTGCAGAAGGCAGCTGAGTGAATAACCGAGCCGTAGTGAAGTGAGCCGAACAACGTACATCGGCTGCCTTTGGCTGCACATCGGTCAGCCAAACAGCCGAAGTGCAAAAGGACTTAGACACAGCCGATCCAACATATTCACATAGGGGCCAAACGGCAGTGAGTGAATAGCCAAATGCTGCCGAATGGTACCTCCGTGGTACCGAGCAGAATAGCAAATTGTGAAAAAAGTGTGGGGAAAAAGAAAAGTTGAAAAAATATTTTTAAAAATGTAAATAAATATTACATTTAAAAAATAAATAAAGTTAAAAAAATACACTTGGGTGGAGCTAGCAGTGACAGCTCTGCCCAACGGTTTAGTATTGGCCGACACCTATTAGAGTCTTCTAACAGGTCCGAGCAGATGAATAACTGGGCAATTGACATCATGGCCGGCTCCACCCAGTTGTTATTTTTTAATGACAGATCAGTGTCCCCAGGTCATTTGGGGACGCTGATTCGTCATTAAAACTGGGTGGAACCAGCCGTGACATCACAGCTGGCGCCACCAGCTGTCATTTGCAGGGAGAAAGGCCGGCCTTGGCTGACACTTCAGCTCAGTCCAGCCGAAGTAAATGCCTTCTGATAGGCTGAGCCACTGTACAGGCAATTGCGAATAGCCTGTACAGTGGCCCTTCGGTTCGACTGAACCGAAGGGCTCCGGCGGTAAAAGAGAGCCGAAGGATCAGCCAAAGCTCCGACTGGATCCTTCGGCTCATCTGTAAATAACTCCCTTAGTTTTGAAGG